GAGGACCGCAGCAGGGCGGGGACGCCGGCCGGGCACAAGGACCGCAGCAGGGCGGGGACGCCGGCCGGGCACGAGGGCCGCAGCAGGGCTGCTTCTGCAGGCGGCGGCGTGTGCGCTTCGTCCGCGCGCGGCGGGCTGTGCTGGGGGCCTTAGCCTCACCTGCGTTTCCGCCTCTTACCTGCTGCTGCCCCCCGCCGGGGCTTGCGCAGGGCCGGGGTCCCCGCTGCTTCGGCGCTGGGCCCTGGATGGTGGAAACGCCCAGCCGCAGCTCACGCAGCGAGGCTCGTGATCAGGGACAGATGAGCAACCCTCCGCGCTTGGAGGCTGGGCTAGTCAGGAGGACCGTCGGCAAGCTGAGGCCCGGGGACTGAGTCTCCAGAGGCCATCTCTGGGGATTTGTACTAGGGTTGTGTTCTGTTTGGTGACGAAATAGGGGTGTGAAAAACTTAGTTTTGTGTAAATACTTATTTCACAATCTTGGACACTCAGCTTTACTTAATCTGTTATTCTCTCTCTCTCTCTCTCTCTCTCTCTCTCTCTCTCTCTTTCTTTCTCTCCCCCCCCCTCAGAAATAATGAAAAAAAGTGATTAAAAATTTCAAGTAAATAAACGTGTGTGTCATTATGCATATATACTCAGTTGTAGAATTTTACATGTGATTGTTTACATATGTATGTTAATCTCAAGGTGTATTAGCTAACATTTAGCATCCTATTGGTCATTATGAAGCCCTCTGAAATTCCTTGAAATAGATGTTTTACACATTACATTCTCTGCTCATAAAACAAAGAAACTAGAACTGACAGGAAGATAGGCAGAAAGAAATCATTTTGTTAGATTTTAAGTGTTTTAATATCCCTCATTATATGTGCTTCCAAAGCAAGCACTAAATAGCCTTTATATACAGCAAACATCATCCATTTGAGCGCACAGTTCCATGAATTTTCACATATGTACTCAGTACTGCAACTTCCATCACAAACAAGGTATTAAATAGTTTAATGATACGCAAAGAACTTGTGTCTGCCCTTTGTAGCTAACCGGCACCACAACTCCAGCCTCTAGCAGTCACTAGTGTTTGTATACTAGTAGCATCTCATTTTCATTGCTGACAAATATTGAGGCACCAATATTTGTCAATTCATCAATTAGCTTAAAGACATTGAAGAGTCCTAGCCCAGGTCCAGTGAGTGTGCGGAGAGCTTCCTGCTACCCTGCGCTGGCGGGACCAGTCCCAGCAGAGGTGCAGCATGGGCCGGACCCTCTCCCAGCCCCTTGGGCCACCCCCCACCACTCCACCCGCCAAGTAGGAATTTTTGCCCCGTCCCGGAGCCCCCAGACCTAGTCCTAGCCCAGGTCCCGTAAGTGGGTGCGGAGAGCTTCCTCTTCCCCCTACTTCACCTTGCCCTCTCCAGGCACAGCTTAGGCCTGGCATACATGCCTGAGGTGTAATCTTGCAGCTGCAATTGCTGCAGAGAGTGTAGAGGATAGATCCAACCAGCTAGTCCAGGAGCAGAACATCTCGCCACAGGGACACAACAGGTTCACCCTCAAGGGCAGCAGCGGGAAGGAGCTGAGCACAGCAGCCAGACCTAAGCCAGACGCAGTTGGATAAGTTCAAATTTTGTAGAGGTGCACCTGAACTTCAGTACGTGTGAAGGTTATAACTACAGCAAAGATCTACAACAAAGGTCAGAAGACAGTGCTACACAAAATGACGAGAAGGAACAAAATGCAACCTCAGAACCCAAGCCCACCCATAACAAGTGCAGAGGACAGTAACACAGAAAAAATTGGTAATCACACAGCTGAAAGCAATGAATCAACGGCTTCTCAAAGAAACAGCTGCAGAAAGATGTAGAAGACCTCAGATTGGAAATGAAAAAAGAAGTCCCTGAATTAATAACATCTGCACTAAAGAATCAAATGCAGAAACATATGGAGGAAACCCAGTGCCCACCCAGAACAAGTGCGGAGGACACTAGCTCGGCTCAAATGCATGAATTAATAGCGTCGATAGTAAATAAGGACATTGAAGCTGTTTCCAGATTGATGTGATTGTGTACAGGCTTTTGTGACTATAACTTGTTATTTTATTCTGATAAAAAGGTAAGAGTGGGATCAATGGGTCCCCTACCCTGGGGTTGATGGATAGCTTTCATGGGCTGAATGTGTATTTACCCTACTACATTGCTACGTTGAAGCTACAAACCCCAGCGTGGCTTTATTTTGGAGACAGAAACCTTAAAGAAGTAATCAAGGTCAAAGAAAAGTTGTAAGTGTGTGGACTAGAGGTTTTCTCATCTCTGTCTCTGTCTCTGTGTGTGTGTGTGTGTGTGTGTGTGTGTGTGTGTCTGTTCACTAGCACAGACATGGAAAAAAAGTCTGGTGTGGAAAAAGCACTCAGCATAAACAATCAATCAGAACTTCAACCCTGAGCTTCTGGTCTCCTTATGAGAAAACGAATTTCTCTTGTTCACGCTGTGTGGCCCATGGTGTTACGTTGTGGTCACCTGAATTAACTAACACAGTAAGTATATATTTAACTTCATAAGCAAATAGGAGAGCCTCAGTTCATATTTTGTATTTACCCCAGAAGAGTTTCTATTTTTCAAAACAACCATATTTTCAGCTTTTAACAAGCCATCCACATTGGTATGCCATTGCTATGGTGTCCACAGGCTGTCCCCCAAGAGCCTCACCGGCCGCAAAGCAGCTGGTGGAAAATGACCAGATCACGGGAGTGAGAGAGGCCTTGTCGTTCAGAGGCGCCGCTGGGCTGGAGTGTCGCTGGGTGCAGCCGGCAGTGTCACCTCCCTTTCTAGTTCCTGGCTGCTGAGATGTGAACTGGTTTCCCCTGTGCTGTGCTGTATCTTTTTGGGACCTGTGACTCATGGACAGAATTGTGACCCAGAATTGCCCCCTGCACCTTTAAGTTGTAGACATAGGGTGCTTTGTCCTCTCCACAGTTGTGAGTAGTTAATTATAATTTTTTTTTGGCTTATTTTCCTTCTGGGTCTATGTCTGGACTTTCTATTTTAATCTACTGATCATTTGGCTAGTTCGATTACCATATTTCCATATTATGTATTTAGACATCTGGCTCCTGCTCTCACAGCCACTGCGGTACACTGAGCTCCATAGAGACAGCGTCAGGGCAAGTGAGAGCCGGACGGGCACTGGGCGACTCTGTACCTCGCTGAGGAAGACAAGTAAACCTGGACAAAGGAGATCCCAGAAAGCCGAGAGGCAAGATGTCATCCTATGCATTCTCTGCACAAACCTGATGAGAAGAGCACAAGACGCAGCACCCAGATGCTTCCGTTAACTTCTCAGAGCTTTCTAAGCAGTGCTCAGAGAGGTGGAAGACCGTGTCTGCTCAAGAAAAAGGGCCATTTGAAGACACGGCAAAAGCGGACAAGGCTCGATTCGGAAGAGAAATGAAAAGTCATATTCCTCCTAATGGAGATACATATCATGTGTTTAAATCTGAATTTTAAAATTTGTTTCTAAGAAACATTCGTATTAACCTCTATGACTTCAGATAAGACATTGTGCTAGTGTTTGTATCGTTAATGGGTACAACAGAGAAGCACTGAGAAAACTGACTACTATATGAGCAGTAGTCCATTCTCTTGTTTTGTTATCTATATCTTACGTCTTCCTGCATATATTTCATATTTATTCTTCTGCATTTATATTTTGTGCTCTATCGTGGGTGGAATTTCCTTTACCAATCTAGCTCTTAATGAGTTATTCTTCATATCCATGCATGCTATTGATTACTCTCGTTAACTTCACATTCTGTTAGCTTACTGAATTCTTTCATTTGTTTAATTTAGTTGTACCAAAATTTTACAAAGATTTTCCAAACATACGTTGTATCATTTAGGCAACCAGATTTTAGGTTTCTTGTTTTCTGGTTCTATGTGTCTAAGGAGACTGTCTAACTCGACATTAGCTGGACTGCTAAGTAGCAAGCGAGGTCATGGAAATCCTTCCTGCTGAGATTAGCGGAAACGTCTTTAGGATTTCCTCATTAAGTGAAATTCTGGATTTGAAGTTGAATTATATGTACTTTTTTGAGACAGAGTCTTGCCATATAACCCAGGCTAGCTTCAAACGCACTGAAATGCACTTACCTCAACCTCCTGGGTGCTGGGATTACAGGTGTGTGCCACCATGCCTGGCCAAAACTGAGTTATATGCACTTTAAATGTTAAGTAAATCCTTATTGTTCTATGTTTTTTGGTCTGGAATGGCTGAAAACACATTTTAGCCATCATGAAGGTAACTATATACTATTTTTCTTTAAAAACCTTAATATGGTGAATCATTTTAATGAATGTCTTAATACTAAACCATTCTTGCATCTCAAGTACAAGACTAGTTTATGAAGTGTTTTTTTAAGATAGCAGTCTTTCAAGAGATTAGTACAGAGAAAGAAGAAAAGAGAGAGTTTTAAATTGGAATTAATCAAATTTAGCCCAATTAATCATAGAAAACTTAGGCAACCCAGAGTTTGTGCAGAATTTTAAAATTCGTCAAATTATTATCTGACTAAAATAGCATTAGGCTGAGACTTTTTGTCCAGTTGCGTTAATGCTTTGGATGTGATGATCCTGAAAATAAAAAAGCTAGCCACCAGCCAAGCAAGTTTACTTGTCATGAGAATAATTTGAATTGGAACTTCGATAGCAATAGTATTGGTGAAAGTATAAGTAGAACATTTTTCTCTTCATTTTCCCTCTCTCATCTCCCCTGCCTTTTCCTTTCCCCGCATCCCTCTCTCTCTTCCTTTCTCCTCTCCTCCCCCTCTTGCTGTTGTTGCTGCTGCTGCTCCTCCTTCGTCCATCTCACCCACCCCCTTTTTTCTAGAAGGAGGATTTCTCAAACTGAAAAATGAAGCACCCGCCTACTAGGTACCACACTGGATCTTACCAAAAAGGCTGAGAAACAACCCCATCCTGCTGGGAATGTGGCAGAAGTGACTATGTCAAGCTGTGTTATGAAAATCTTGAAATTCTGACAGAAATATATGAGCCATTTAGAGGACTGATGAGGAATATGAATAGGATTTTTAAATTTTTCATTTATTTTTCTTAATGAACTTTGGCATTGTTTGGATCTAGTTTGGAAAATGTATCTTTGGAAAACTGGTACAAGTTGTGTCAGATTTAGAGACAAATTCTGTAAGAGTTGGTGCCTTTACATGTAACGGCTTAACTCAAGAACATGAAGTGACTTTTTTATTCAAATTTTCTTTAAGGTGTGGGCATGAGTGACGTCCTCA